GGGGCGAGGCCTGGCAGCCGTGCGGAGACCCCGGGCAGCCTCCCCTGGCTTGGCGCTGCCCGGCCGGGCTTGGAAAGTCCTCCCAGAGAATCCCTCCGCCCCTGGGCCTCAGGCCCGCCCCTCGCCGCTCCCTGGGACCCGAGACAAGGCCTGGCCGCCCTACGCGGGAGCCCGCACGGACCCTCTCCCCCTTGTACTGTAGCATGTCCTGGGCGGAGCAAGAATCGCCTGAGACAGCAGCCTGCGCCCCCGGCTCGGGTCTGAGCAGCCCAGTCAGGCGAGCAGCTTTCCCTCTAACTGTCTGCATCCCTGTGCAGAATGCATTTTGTTCTATGCGCCACGGCATGTAGGGATGCGCACCACCCGGAGAAACATGATGCTGGTGCTGGTGCGCTTCTAGCCCACTGGGCAGAGTTGACTCTCTCCTGGGTGGCTGCCCAAGCACACAGCTTTACAGGGAGCACTGCAGGCGAGCTAGTTTCAGGTGTTAAAGGAACAGGCATTTCAGAAGAAAAGTGAAGCCAGAAGGCCGTGAGTGGGATTTAATATCATACTTCCAGTTACACATCCATGCTTTCCAAACACAGACATCCTCAGTCCCACGCCTGGGAGTACCTGCCTGCCAGCTTCTAGCAGCTACCTGTGGAAACCCACCAGGGTCAGTTCTCTGTCTGGTCCTATGCAGCATCTTCATGCAGTCATCTAGTTTTGCAAGATCCTTTTGAAGCTCTTCACAGTCTGCTTTGGTCTTAAGTATCTTGAGCAGTTTAAGCAAAATGCAGGACAATGTAGCACTTTAAAGACTAACAAGATGGTTTATTAGATGATGAGCTTTTGTGGGCCAGACCCTCTTTTAGTATCATCTGCAAATTTTGCCACCTCCTTGTTTACCCCTTTCTCCAGATCATTTATGAATATTTTGAATAGGATTGGTCCCAGTATAGACTCCTGCACAGGGCTGGCCCTACCATGAGGAGAACTGAGGCAGCTGTCTCAGGTGCCAGACTGTGGGGTGGCACTACTAGGACTCAGTTTGTAGAAAATTGTGTCTGCTGCTGGTGCATATCTAGGTAGCAGACCAGTACCATGAGAGGAGAACAGGAAGAAGGCAGAATTGAGACCTTCCAAAGTTTTGGCCCAAGCGAGGGAGCATGGGGGCATCATTTGAGCTCCCCCCGTCAGGTGCCAACATTTTGTGGGCCAGCCCTGCTCCTGCATTCTGAAAACTGACCATATATTCCTACCCTTTGTTTCCTGTCTTTTAACCAGTTACCAGTCCATGAGAGGACCGTCCCTCTTATCCCATGACAACTTTAAGAGCCTTTGGTGAGAGTCTGTATCAAAGGCCTTCTGGAAATCTAAGTACACTATATTCAATGGATCCCCCTTGCCCACATGCTTGTCTCTAGTAGATAAGTAGAGCATGATTTCCCTTTACAGAATCCATGTTGACGTTTCCCCAACAAATTATGTTCATCTACATTTCTGACAATTCTGTTCTTTACTATAGTTTCAACTAATTTGCCTAGTACTGATGTTAGACTTACTGGTCTGTAACTGCCAGGATCACCTGTAGGGCCTTTTTTAAAGATTGGTGTCACGTTCGCTATCCCAAGATAAAGTGTGTGGTGCTAACTTTGCTCCTCTGGAACAATGGAGGGTAAGGCAATAAGGGTAAGGCAGACCTCACTTGCTTCCCCAAAAATCAAGCATCATCCCAAGCCTCACCACTGTCCACTCCACAGGCAAGATGCATTCCTTTGACCTGGCCTTCCATCCTGCAGCGTACACATTATTACACAACAGCCACTCCTCTGCACATCCATCTCCCCCTGGGAGGGTCAACATCAACAGGGCTCCATGTGGCAAGAGGGGGCCGTGCTCTCAGATCCCTGTATCGGCTCCAAGTGGAAGTTAGCCAGGACAATGCATCAAAAAGCTACTTTGTTGCTTTCTTTGACAGCTGCAGTTGAGTTTTGAATTCTTTACGATCACCTCCAGGAAATGCTTGATAGTACTGTTAATAAAAATCACAATGTCAGATATTTGCTATTAGATCTAAAGGCAGCCCCATTTTTAATGTGGATTATAGAACATGTAGGCAAGTAACATAGGATAGAACAAGATGCTGCTCCTGTCATATCAAAGCATCCTTTGGCCTAGAGTAGTGGCCATCGGAGCTTTTTTGCGCAAAAGCACGTCTAGATTGGCACAGATGCTTTTGTGCAAAATCACTTTTTGCGCAAAAGCATCCTTGCCAATCTAGACGCTCTTTTGCAGAAATACTTTTAATGGAAAAACTTTTCTGTTAAAAGTATTTCCACAAATTCATGCCAGTCTAGATGTAGCCTTAGATGCTAACCCTGTGAGCCACTGTGTGTTGGCAAAGCCCTCCAGGGATACAGCCTCTGAACCAGGCTGTGTGGGCTTTCTTACTAACCTGGTTCCTGCACCACTGTAGTCAAAAGATGGAGAACTCTGTCTGCTCTTAACTTTCCGCATAGGAACCAACTAACATGCTCATTTGGTAAGTGACCCAGTCCTTTAATAGTCAGTCAGTCAGTCACACACACACTCTCTCTCTCCCTCTCCCCCCTCTCTCCTCTCCCCAAAGACTTCAGGCCAAAATCCTCTGGCATAATCCTGAGGCTGGTCCCGTTTCAGTTCGTGTTCCTTACGGAAGGCTAGAGAACCATTGGCATCTTCCTGCAGAGAAGAGAAATTTGTTGTAAATTGAGCTGTCAGCAAACCCATCCCTCTGTAGATTATAGGACGAGAGAAAAATAAAACTGAGGTTGAGATCCAACAGAATTTCACTTGAGAAGGCAAGGGCAGGCAGTCGTGCATTAGTCAGAGGAATCAGCAAGGCTGGCCAAGCCTTCTTCAGTGAGATGCTTTCCCCAGGAGGTCCTGTCGAAACTTGTACATACCCAACCAAACTGTAGTGATCTGTGGGCTCGGATGCATTTCTTATTGCATTAACTGATGGCTGTGTGGGGCAAGCTCGTGCACTGATGGCCCAGGAGAGCAGTTAGTCTCAAAGCAGGTGCAGTCTGGCTTAGCTGCTACTCAAGCTTCCAGTGCCAGCCCTGCTTTGGAGGGGCAGCCCGTGGAGGAGTCAGAAGCTAAGTGCATGGCCCAGCCCACTGCCTGGCGGCTCAGTGCATACCAAGCAGGAGTTGCCCTGCCCGTGAGAGAGCCTTTCACCACCACATCTTTCTCTGGTCTCCTCAGGGGGACACGGCCATTTAACGATCCAGTCTCTTTGTAACTTACCCTCCCGATTCCCTTAACAAGCTAAACAAAAGGCAAGATCTGACCCAGAGGGACAGATTTCCTGCAGGTCCACCGACAGGGGAAGGGAAAAGGGTAAATTGCCCTGGGGCTCGGCAATTCGAAAGGGCTCAGGGTCCTGGCAGTCATTTTAAATCCCCACTGGATGCAGCAATAAGGGCTGTGGGGGTCAGCATGGCACACTCACTGCCCTCCACCACCCCATCTGCCTGGGGTACCAGCCCTTCAAGGAGCATGGAGCCAACACACACCTGCCCTTGCTCAGAGGCATGGCTGGCGGCTGCCTGTTTTCCTACAACTGCCAGGGTGCCTTGGCCACGTGCATGAAGAACTAGTCAGTCCGCATGCACGTGCACTGTAACAGACCCATGGGGCCTGTGCTTCTGGCAGACAGTGTTCAGCCTCAGAAGCTCTGTGTGTCCCGCCACTAGAGGCAGGGTTCACAGCCCACCTAGCCATCCTCATCACAGCTAGTCGAGAGCATGGGGTGAAACCCCCTCTATAGTCCTGACCTCCCCATCCAGAGATAGACCCTGCAGTGGTGTGGAGAGGGTTGGGGGAACCCAGGCCTGCCCGCTACTCCAGGCTCTGGCCTAGTCAGTGGCAACAGATGGGCTATGACTACACAGCAGGCTTCTTGCACAAGAACGGTTTTGCAGAAGAGTTCTTGAGCAAAAGGTCTTCCACAAGAGTGCATCCACGCTGCCATGTGTTTTTGCACAAAAGCGTCCACGGCAGTGTGGACACACTCTTGCACAAGAAAGCTCGGATGGCCATTTTAGCCATAGGGGTTTCATGCTGCCTGTCTACACTGCCTTCTTGTGGAAGAGCATTTGCGCAAGAGGGCTTATTCCTCATGGGGAGAGGAATAACTCTTCCAGAAGAAGCCCTGTTTTCCAACACTATACTGTAAATTTACTTGCACAAGAACACACAGGCTACATCTAGACTGGCATGATTTTCCAGAAATGCTTTTAATGGAAAAGTTTTCTGTTAAAAGCATTTTCGGAAAAGAGCATCTAGATTTGGCACAGACGCTTTTCCGCAAAAGCACTTTTTGCAGAAAAGCGTCCATGGCCAATCTAGACGCGCTTTTCCACAAAAAAGCCCCAATCGCCATTTTCACGATCGGGGCTTTTTTGCGGAAAACAAATCTCAGCTGTCTACACTGGCCCTTTTGCGCAAAAGGGACTTTTGCCCGAACAGGAGCAGCATAGTATTTCCACAAAAAGCACAGATTTCTTACAGTAGGAAGTCAGTGCTTTTGCGGAAATTCAAGCAGCCAGTGTAGACAGCTGGCAAGTTTTTCCGGAAATTCCATTAAAAGTATTTGCACAAGAGAGCATCTATACTGGCAT